AGCCCTGGGTCCTGCAGGCAGGTGCCACCATGGCGGGTGCTGTAATCTTGATTTGGATTCTTTGAAAGCCAGGAAGTCCTCTCTTGTATCTGACCTGACTCTCCCCTGCTCTCAGGATGTTTTAACTCAAAGCAATTAATTAGTTTTCAAGTTTTTTAGGTTTTTTTTTTTTAACAAAGCCACAGAACGCTTTATCAAAACTGTATCTTACACAAAACCTCCATCTATAAACACACGTTCATGGGACTGCTATGCATGAATCAGGGTGGCACAAGCATCCTGTATTCCCAGATATGGGAATGTAAAGTCCCGGAGCACCTCGGACACAGTCTGAAAATCTCTGTTGGCTCAGTGATCTCTATGCCCCTTGTGGGCTCTGTCGTGGGCTCCGCAAGATTGTGGTGACCTCAGAGAAAAGCAAAGGGGACGTCCGCCCTCTGGGAGCTGCTGGCCATATGGGGAAGGCCACACCCAAACCAGGATACAAGGACAAGGAGCCAAGAGGCCTACCACCCACCCTGCTGAGGACTTGCTATCTGACTGAGAAGACAGCAGTCCCTCTCTGGGTCCTGATTTCCCTATGAACATCCTGGGGCAGCTGGCCTGGGCTGGGGAGCCTCTGCAGTGAGGCCTGGGAGGGGAGGCCACCTCACTGACCACCAGGACACTTAAGCCACGAGAGACACACACTGAAACAGTTTAGCCTGAGCAGTGGCAGGACGCCTGGCTGATACCCATGAGCACTGGCTGGGCTGGCTCTTTGGCAGGCTGGGAGCGGCAGGGGTGTGGGCAGGAGCTGAGTGAGAGGCAGGAATGGTCAACAGGAGAAGCGCTGTCCAGAACACGGGTGAGCCATGCCACCAAGCCACCGTGACGGCAGCCCCAGGGCACTCCCCTGCATCTGAGGCAAACGTGGCTTCATTTGCCACCCCAGCTGCTGGGGGCAGGGTGGTAGGCATTTTTGAAGAGGATCTGCTTGTGCCTGGAGGAAGTGGGGAGGGTCTAGACAGGTGAGGGGCACTTGCTGGAGGGGTCTGCGGAGATGGACACAGAGTTCCGGGGTCCTCAGGGGACTGTCTTTCTCCTAAAGACCTGTCTCTCTCCCCTGGTGGGGGGCGGCCCACCTGGCCTGAGCTGGGAAAGGTGACTGTTGTTGGGGTGAGTGAGAACACCATAGCCCGTGTGCCCAAAGAGTGGCCTGAGGCTAGTCCCTGATGTTCTCAGAGTCTCAGTTTCCATATCTGTAAATGGGAATGTTTTGTGACTTGCAGAGCTGCCATAAGGCTGCAGGACAACATGGCCAGTGCCCACGCAGGGGCTTTCTCTGGAGTTATGGACCCTGTTGGGAGTTACGGACCCTTCTGAGAAGTAGAAAGAGCCACGAGACCCTACCCCAGGGAGAATCCAAGTTCAAAATTGTTCATATGAATTCAGTTCACTCAAAAATTACTCACATACATTCAGTAACAATGGTACTACAGTTCTTTTGAAACACACCCTAAACCTGTACCTGGAGAAGGAGTCTTTTATTATTATATTTTCTTGGTCTCATCTCCAAGCATGTGGGATCTTAGCTTCCCAACCAGGGATCAAACCTGTGCCTTTTGCATTGCAAGTGCAGAGTCTTAACCACTGGACCACCGGGGAAGTCCCTGGAGAAGGAGTCTTAACTCTCGAAGGCTCTATAGTACCATAGTACCGGGCACACACTGGGTCAGGGCGTGTTAGAAGCAAAAGGGCAGCTAGATGGGGTGGGAGTCGGGGAGAGGTAGTAAAAGAGAGGGACCTGGAAGGGAGGAGACTCGAGTCCCAGACCCAAAGGCCCCCTTGTTTACTGAGCCCCAGCGCAGCTCAGCACCCCTGCCCCCCCATCTTGTCCTCACCTCTTTCCCTGAAGGCTCCACCCAGCTCAGGTCTGGGAGCTGGTTGTGTACACGGTTTCTCGGGCCCACAGCTGTGTGCGCCAGTGTGTGTGTGTGTGTGTATCAGGGCTGTTTCCAATCCCCCCCCCCACACCCGCCCCCTCCTGGGCAGCACGCCCAGTTCCCCATACACTTCCTCTGCGCGCTCTGCAAACCCTACTCCCCTCCCGCCCTTCGTTGGCCGCCTGGCCCACCTGGCGCAGCCCCCTCCTTGGGCCCCCCAGGCGGGCAGCACTGAAAGGCTCTTCTTGTCTTGGCCGGGCGGGCAGGCGGGCGAGTGTTGGGAAGGGGAGCTCAGCTATACTTGGTTCTGGAACAGCACTTTCAGAGTCCGGGTGGGCTGGGCAGAGGGCACTGGCCCTTGCCCTGCTCTAGAGGGCTGGAGCCCCAGTGTACACACACACACACACAAGACTCAGAGGCTGTCTCTGTCTCCGGTTAGAGAGGGTCTCCCAGACCATCCTTAGAAGCAACAGAGTCCTACCCTGGCTCAATTCCTTGCTCTGATGCTCCCCTGCCCCCACGCTAGCCCTGCTCTCTAAGACACCCCCATCAATTCAGGGCCCCCACCCAGATGGTACAAGAACCCTCTCCGCCTGGCACTCCCTCCTGAGTCCCACTTGCACCCCTCATCTGCTGCCTTTCAAAGTCAGCTACAGTAGCAGGGAGGAGGTGCAGAAGCCACTAGCCCTGTATGTTCTGTGCCCACTCTGACCCCCGGTTTCGCTTGTGCTACACCCGCTACTGGAACCACATCAGCTCCAACTCAGTCTCCCCACTGCTTATGGCTCTGCCGGGATCCCCATAAGGCTCAGAAGGGAATGGACACCACACTTACCATGCACACTGGCATAGGGGCCCAAGCCTCACCGACTATGCAGGTGGGGAGCTCCCACAAAGTGGGACTGGGGGGCTCCTCCTGGGCAGCAGGGCTTCTCTGTGGGCTAGACCACTTTGCTTCCCTCCTGGGCCCTCAGGTTGCCTGTCTGTACAATCAGAAGGTTGGCCCAGGTGGTCTCCAAAGGTGCTTGACTCTCAGGCCCCATGACCTGGATGCTCTGGAGTGTTGATGAATGCGGGGAAAGCATCCCAGTGTGCCTCACTCTGGTACCTGAGACTCAGAGGCTTTTGGGGTAGGCTTTTGGTGTCCAAGAGGGGTGGCAGTGATACCTTCCACAGGTAAGGGCTGCCCCTATTGCAGAGACCAGGACACGGAACTAAGCCAGGCCTGGGGACAGAGGTGGGCTGCTGGAGGGGAGCTCAGACTGGGAGGGGGCGAGGGTATTAGCTCGCCCACCCCCTCACCACTTCCAAATCCCTCCTATAGGAAGGTGTTGCTTGATGTTTTTAACCCCACTGGCACCATGCTGCTCTCCTCTCTAAAACCTGCGCTGGCTCCCTACCGCCAGCAGGGCTTGGGCTGTGAGCTGCATTTTGCCATTTCAGGTTTCTCTGCCCCACCCCAGTGGCTCTTTCTGGCTTGTGCTCAAAAATACATGCCTTCCAGCCAGGCTACTGGCCTCCTAATCTCCGCTCATACCCATCTCAGAGCCTGTGCTCACTGACCCCCTTCCCATCCTCCAAGGCTTAGCTCAAGGATCACCCTCTGTCCCATCCTAGCTTGCCTCTGAATTTCTCTTCACCATACTCTTCGTCTGGATCTTTGCAGACATGATAGGAATTGCTGTTTGAGTTTTAATGTGCTTTTCTGCCTTCTGAATGAGTCCAAGTCCAATCTGTATTTCTGTGCACTCCCGACTGCCCAGCACAATGTCTGCACTCAGTTGAAGCCCAAGGAGGTGGGTCCTGGAGTCGCTCCTTTGGCTAGAGGCTGGGGGCTGGGTGTGCACCCATCTCTCTAGTCAGCTCAGATGCCCCCTTCCCATCTCTCTAGAGGCTTAGCCTATCACCCACCCCCTGAGACCTTGAAGGATGGGGTTCCTGGGGATGGGAACAGGGAGCCTGGGGATCCAGCTCTGCCTCATTCCAGTGGGGGGCTCTCCCCTGACTCATTTCCCTTTTGGGTACCGCGTGATTACTGTCCATTTTAACTGGCTTCCCCATCTGATGGGGAGAGGGGTGTGGCCTAGGTCCTTGGAAGGGAGACTCAGGCCCTTCTTCAGTTCAAAGTTGTTCTTGGGAATGGTCCCGAAAGATGTAGGCTGAAGCACTGATTCATACATACATGGGTAGTAATGACTGATGAGCCCTGAGGCCACAGTTCTTATGGCATAACTAGACCATGCCTTCACCAAGGGAAGAATGCCATAATGGTGGGATTTCTGGCATTGGAATAGAGACTGGATATGTCCTAGCACCTCTCACGGCATTCCATTTCGGCTGGAGTCAAGTACCAATGCCTGGGACAGGGAGGTGTGCAGGGGGTCGCCCAGGGCTGTCTGTCTGAGGGGCGCCAGCCCTGCCTCTAGGAGGCTGAAGAGTGGGTGGTCCTGTCTGTCACCAGCTAGGTTTTCTCAGTGAGGAGAGAGAAGACAGGAAGGGGAGGAAGGGGTGGTGGTGAAGACAGAGAACGCACCCGGCAGAGTGGGCCACAGCTGGAGGAGACCCAAGGATGCTGGAGGAGGTGGAGGCTGGGGTGCATTCGGGGCCCCACACGGGGTGGGGAGGGTGGCTTCCTCCGCATTGCCCACCTTGCACACTCCCCGTTCCTGGCCTGGGTGTCGGAAGTTGGGGACTCCCTGTCACCGGGTGTCCTTTGGGCATCGACTCGGTCACAGAGAGCCTCCTGGATATGGGGAGCCCAGGCGGCACCGGGGTGTCCCTTCTGGGTCTAGAGGACAATCCTGCACAGAGCCACGCCCTAGACAAGCGACCCAGGGGCCAACCTCAGATAACCAGAGCCCACATGACCCCCAGATAGCGAGCTGTCGCTGGGGATCTTGCCTCCCTGGGGGTGGCGTGATACCCACAGAGACCCCAGCCGGGAACAGCAGAAGTGCAGCCCCCTTGTTTCTCCGACTGGGGGCCACTTCTGGGTCCTCCTGTCCCTTTTCTCTGCCTAAGAAACCCTCCATCGCTCCCGCCAGTCTGGGCCGGGGTCTCCGGCCCCTCACTCACCTGTGGATGCTGGTCCCACCAACACAGCGAAGGTCAGAGCCAGGGCCAGGGCGGGGGCTGGAAGCGGGAGCCGGGGACCCCAGCACATCGCGGCGGCGGGCTGGGCAGCGGCGACTTGCGAGGAGCGGAGTCCGGAGCCTGGAGCTTGGACCCAAGAGTCTTTTGAGTTGAGAGAACTGGCGCGGGCTGGGGCTCCCGGGCGTCCCGCCGCCTACTTAACGCCGGGGCGGGGCAGGCGCCGACCCGCGCTCGGGTTTCAGGCCGGGGCTCTCCCGGCTGCCCCCCCCACCCCCAGCCGTCTTAAAGGGCCCGTGCTGGTTCTCCTCCCCGTCGAGGGTGAGAGGATCCTTACAGCTCGGTCAGACCCAGGCTCCACCTTAGAGATTCGGAACAAAATCCCAGAGGAGCCCGGACTCCCCGGGGCTCCCGGAAGAACTCCTTTGCGAGGAGATGTGAGCTGGGCTGGTCCCCTCGCTTCTCTGCCCTCTGCTCTTGCAAGGATTGTGGGTGTGGGGCGTCCTCAAGCCAGGTCTGGGAGGAAGGACAGATGCCCTCCACTCCACGGACTGCTTTGGGGCTGCTTTGCCTCTGAGGTGTCTTGAGGATGCCATTTGGTCAGAGAAGCACCAGCCTGAAGTTCTGTACAGCGCAGTGCCCACTGGCATTGCCTCTTTGACCTTTTCTGCCTCAATGACTTAGTCGGTAAAGGAGAGATGTTTTAGATTCTCCCACAAGGCAGGAGGGATCCTCAACTCCATGGGATCATTTGCCTCAACTGGACCCTGCCAAGTGGCTGCTGACCATTCCTGCCCTCGTTTCATGGAGGAGGAGACTGGCTCAGAGCTGGAAGTGGTTCTCGAGAGGCCCCCAGATGGGCAGTAGGTACCTGGTCTTATGGGACCAGAACCCAAGGCCTCCTGAATTTGGTGTTTCAACTTCCTCTGGGGTGGCCTCCTGGAAATCTGGCCCTGGATTTATCACCTACCTAACAGTTTCAGGCTGGGGCCCTGCTCTCCTTGGCTCCTTCCCAGGCAACAATCTCAGCCTTGTCCCAAACAGGAGAAAGGGCAATGTTACTGTAGAGCTTCTGGCGTCAAGAGGCTCTGCTTGCCCTCTGTCGAGTCCTAGCATTGGTATTGCCTGGCCTTGGTTTCTTTGCCCAGCGAATGGGTGGAAGAGCACCCCTGGAGTGTCTCCCCTCCCTTCCTCCATCAGAATCTATTACCCTTGCCTGCTTTAGCCCACCCCCAACCCCATCCCACCACTCACTCTCTCCTCAACCTCTCCCCTTGCCCGGTGATAGTCCTAACGTGTGTGTATGGCCCTTCAAAGTTTGCAACAAAATTGTGCCCCGTTCTGCAAATGAAGAAACTGAGGCAGAGGGAGGTTAAGGGACTTGAGCAAGTCTACACAGCTTCCCTGGTGGCTCAGATGATAAAGAATCTGCTTGCAATGCATGCGACCCAGTTTTCATTCCTGGGTTGGGAGGATTCCCTACAGAAGGGAATGGCAACCCACTCCAGTATTCTTGCCTGGAGAATACCATGGCCAGAGGAACCTGGTGGGCTACAGTCCATGGGATCACAAAGAGTTGAGCATGACTGAGTGATAAACACTTTAACTTAAACACAGCTGCTAGGAGGTAGAGTGGGGTCTTTGGCCCCAAACCCACAGTACAGTGGTAACTGGGACTCTGGGTTCAAATCCCAGCTTTCCTGCTTAGCTGTCCAACTTGAGCAAATCACTTCATGTCTCTGTGGTTTCCTTCTTTGTAAAATTGGCTTTGTGAGGATTAAAGGCTTTAATGTACCTCAAGTGCCTAGCCCAGGGTATACAAAGGTGCTCAACGAATGCTTGTCTTTTTTTCCCTCCTTGCCCTGTAGGCCTGCTGCACATCCTCCCTGGGTCTCACAGTTTGCATGTAACTTCCAGAGGCAGCTGCACACAGTAGGTACCCAATAAATGCATGCTGGGATTGACTTAGAAGTCAGTTGCTGCTGTTCTGGGGGAATTTTGGCAAACCTAACAACTCCCCTCCAGTTCACCCTAGGAGGCCTGGGGTGGCTGGGCTGTGCTTAGCTGGTCTTGGTGGCAGTAAAGCCATCAATTCCATACTTTTCCCTTGTTTTTCCTTCTCTCCAAGTCAGCAAGGCACCTGGTCCTTGTTAGGGACTAATTACTGGCCAAGTGTGGGCCCCAAGTTGCCGGGGCTGCTGAGAAGACATTTGGAGGAAAAGAGCTGTCTTCTTAGGAATGAAAAAAAAGAAAGGAGGAGAGGACTTTTGCTTCTTTATGAATCAAAAATATGGGTGGAGATTTCCAGCCACCCCATCTGCCCATCCTTCCCCCTCCCCATCTTTTCGCAGCTCCTCCCCATCCCCACCCACTCAGATTTACCACAACTACCGGGAGTTATTGGTCTGTCTGTGGAGCCTCCAGACGGAGTTCCCACCCACATCTTAGATTCAATTCGGGATTAGCTTGCAGCCTCCCCCTGCCTGGTTGCTAGCTGGGGAGAGAAACACAGGCCTGGAAAAATAATGGCAACTGGCAGGGCAGTAATAACCCACTGTCACTTCCCTGCTCAGTCTTCTCAGTTTACAAAACATCCACCTGGTCTCTTGACAACCCTGGGAAGTGTGTGTGTTGGGGGACAGTGTTCCTTTTTCACTGATGAGAAAACTGAGGCTCTAGTGGTAAAGGGATGCTGGGGCCCTGGAGCCAGCCTGCCGGGCCTTTGTTCAGCCTGTAGCAGGGATTTGAGCCCCGGATTGGTGCTAAGCGGCATCATACCAGGAAGACTGGCCAAAGTTGAGGCCTTTTGTCTTGAAACTGATCCCTGACCGCCTCATATCATCTCAGAACAAAGGCCATGGTCGGGCAGTGCCTGGTCCTCAATTGTCCCCCCTCCCCGCCAGCCTCCTCAGCATGCCCTCCACTAAGGCCCCCACATCCTCATCTTGAGTAGAGCCCATCAGGACCTCCCGAGCATCCTCAAACTTCTTCCTCTGCCTTCTGACTTTCTCTGGCTTGGGTTGGCCAGGTGTCCCTAGTGACCATCCCTGACCGCCCCTGCCTCTCTGGCCATATCTCACCGTCCTCCAGGAAGTCCTCCCTGCCTTCCTTCCCACCCTGAACTCCCTTTTCACAGACTCCCTCTGTATTCTCCTAGTGCCCCTGGCCTCCCCTCCGCCTCCCCGGGGCACGCAGAGCTGAGATAATACTTCCTGTCCTCTCGGTAGGTTTCTTCCCAGCAAAGCACAGGACAGGTCACCCAGGATGGGGGAAGGGGGGAAGACCTAGGACACAGTTGAAGAATGAGGAAGGATGCCCCAGGCTGAGGGCTGGAGAAGTCAAAATGCTGCCTCAGTTTCTCCAAGTGCTGGGCTTCTGGGAGGACAGAGGACAGAGCCTCGCGTCACCGGTTTCTCCACCGCAGGGTTCAGTCAGGCGTGCGGGCCAGGTCCTCCCGGTCACCCGCACGCTTACGCCGTTTGGATGAAGAGTGTCCGCTCTGGCTGTGGCCGTGGCCGTGCCATGCCTTGGGTGGGGCCTGGCACTCTGAGTGCCTCTGTGTTTTGTACCCTGACTGCCTGGGCCCCACCCAGGGAGCCTGTGGCCAAAGCCAGATTGCGGGTAAATGGCGGGGGCTGTGCCCTAGTGGGGCAAAGCCTCAGCTCCCGTTGCACAAGTCCTCACCTCAGGGAAGTGGCCTTCCACCATGAAGGATCTAGAACCCAGGCCACTACTGCGCAGTTGGGGCTTTTGGTCTCAATTCTGTGAACCCAAAGCCACGTGGCCAGGAGCTCCATGGTGGTGGGCCCCAGGCCTGGGCCCCTGACCCAGGGCCTAGGCTAGGAGTGGCCTTGCTCCTGCTCCTGGCTGGAGGCATCCATGGGGCTCCTCCAAGCGCAAGGCAGCCAGGACGGGAGGGGTGGGGCCTGCTATTCCCAACAATTACACAGTTCAGGAGCTGAAAAGTTATGTTTGCTGCCCTTGGGAGCCAGCTGTGGGCTGTGGATGGGAGGCCTGTGGCAGGGTTTCTCCTGGCCAGGGGCAGGCTCTCCCCGTGCCCAGGCTGTCGTGGGGAGATGGGGGTTGGGGGAGGTCGGGGACCCTCTCAGGGCCTCTGTTTCCAGGAGCAGCACTCATCTTCCACACCACGTCCACAAAGGCTTGTGGCTTCAGTGGCTGTGACCAGCTGGCCGCAGCTGACTCCTCCTGGGGTTGTGCTATTTCTAAATATTGGCTCAGGCTGTTAACCCCTGCTCTGCTCCATCTGTGGATATTCAGCTTGGCTGCAGAGAGAGCCTCTGGGAGTCTTCATTTGGATGGAAAATATTTGTGAACGTATTTGCTCAGGGTCTAGTGTGGGGCAGATCCTTTTGGGGGCTGGGGCGGGGCTCCTAAAAGAAGGGTGAGAAATACCTGCTTAGGATCGGGGATGAGGCTTCAGTGGGTGTTAGGAGACATGGTCTGAGCTGGCAGCTGGGCAGGGCAGTGGAAAGAATGTGGGGTTAGGAGCCAGAGGTCTTGTCCTGCCAAGCCTTTTCTGTGTGGCCTCAGGCGAGTCACTTCACCTCTCAGCACCTTCACCCTCATCTGTAAACTAGAACTGCTATGGTGCTTGGATGATGCCCTCAAACGGAGGCGCAGGGGCTTTATGAACTGAAGGGCAGCACCTGTTGGTTATGATGAGGGCAACTCTTGATGCCAGGGTTGTGTTCTCTGCACATCTCCCAGGAATCCTTTGAAGGAGAGGTAAAACTCACAACCAAGAGGTGGTGGAGTGAGCTGACAGGGCTGTCTTCAGCCTGTGTGGGGTTTAGTGCGTGTCCCACTTCACCTAAGGGTGTATAGCTTGGATTTCAGCCCCTGTTGGTCCCATTAGCTAGGGGTCCTTGTACTGTGGAAACACCGTGAAAGCCAGCCTCCAAGATGGCCCTCATCTTCTGGCATTCGCAACCTTGTGGAGTCAGTGTCCACACTGAATAGGGCTGACCTGAATGGCCACTGAAGGTGTCCTACTCTTTGCAACTGCCTGGACTATATAGCCCACCAGGCTCCTCTCTCCTTGGGATTTTCCAG